AGGGTGAATTCCCTGCCAGTGTAGATTGGTTGCATTTCATTCCTTTATATGCTTTTTTAATTCATGATTTCCTGAATAATACCGACCGGAGTTGGCTACTCCGTTCCAGTCTTTATTATTGACATAAACGGAGTAGCCTAATCCGTCTACTCTATTTAATTGTCAAACGGAGTTAGCTACTCCGTATCGTGTTTTCTTTAAAATTTTGGTTCTGATTTTTTTCCCAAACTTTTTTGCTTTGTTGCTTTGTTGTTCAATAATGTCCAATTATTGAGTTTATTGCTTTGTTGTTCAAATGGAGTTTTTTGCTTTCTTTTTCCAATTTTTGTTCCAAATTATTTTGTTCCAAATTTTTTTTGTTCAAATTTTTTTTTCCAAATTTTTATTCCAATTATAATTTTCTTAATCAAATGATTTGTTGTTTGTTTCAATTTTTTTGTTGTAAACCTTTATAAATTTTTTTAAAAATATTTTATTGCTAGAGTACATATAATAATTTATTCATAAAAAGAAGAAGACAAAACACAATCAATGACTAACTTATTTGTAAAATTTAATAATACATAAATTTAGACATAATTGACCCCATAATTGCACTGAGCAAGGGAGCCAACTTATTGTACGACCCTTCCCAAGTACCATACAATCATTGGATGGCTAATAACCATGCACACCATGCCTTCTTGTAAGACACAGAGACATGGAACAACTCATAAACATCCCTGATAATGAGTTTGACTTTATAGTCAGCATCTTCTTGAATTTTTGGACTTATCAGGGTGCTTATGAGTTCACTTGTTAACAATTTGTCGTCCTTGGCTCTTGTGTAATCTGGTCTACACTGGTGGTATCCCTGGTATTGCTTTATGGTCCACATAGTTGTCCCTGCATTCTCTGCGGCTTGGATGAACCAAGTGCATTGGGGGGTATATACACAACTAGCTCTCCAATAACGACTCCGTTTCGCAACTGTGCGAAAGTGTCTATTCTCCGCAATGTTGCGTAAGGGGGGACACGGCTTCTTGTACACTTTGAAAAGAAGGATAGGTATTACCAACCTCAATAATTGAAACTGAAACTGAAAAATAAATGAGCGGTTTATTTGAAAAATAACTTGACCACCCTTTAACTCATCATTTCATAAAATAAGATAGTCACGTTAAATAAATTTCTTTATCTAAGTTTTTACTATATAAATTTTAATTTTCAATTCTACACCTACTATACAGTTAAATAAATTAAATCGAAAATAAAGTCCGCCAAATTTCATAATGCGTATAATAGGAAAATCTCTTTTGAACAGAGAGAGTAAAATGTACCTTGTACTCCCTCCGTCCCATGAAACATGAGATCTTTTGCTTTTTGAAGAGATTTAGGGTAGTGTATTTTGGTATTGAATTTCCAAAAATGTTCTTTGATGTGATGGGTAAAAGTAGGTTTTGATGGGTAGATTATTAGTAAAAAGGTATGATGTGATAGGTAGGATATGAAAAGGTAAGGGGTAAAAATGACTTTTTAATAGAAATGAGAAATGTTTTATGGGACAGATGAAAAAAGAGAGGAGAAATGTTTTATTGCGGGTAGAAGTTGTTTTAAAATTTTTTTGGCATTTGAGACGAGATAAAAGTATTTTATGATATGTGCAAAAAATGAAATGGATAGATCTTTTGGGGACGGAGGGAGTATAATTTAGAGTATATTTTTTAATTTAAAATAAATGTGTTGAAAAAGTTAAGGTGAAAAAAGAAAGTAAAAAAATTCAATTTTTTTAAAAACTAAAAAACATAAAGAGCACTAAAAAAACATAAAGTAAAGAAAACTAAAAACACTAAATAAAAAAGGAGATAAACTAAGAGGGCAAACGGATTACTTTACTCCGTAAGCTTTGTTTTAAATTGGGACGGAGTAGCTAACTCCATCTATACATTTAATTTAAAAAAAAAGAATTGGAACTCCGAATGGCACTGGGAGGAAATAATTTCCTGACTTACCCTGCCAGGAAGGGAGTTTTTTTTATATACATATATAGGGCATTTACTCTGTTTTGTACCCCACTTTGTACTCCGTAACTTTGCACCAACACTTTGTGTTGGTGTAAAACTAATTTTTATTAATGCACCAACACTTTGTGTCCGTGTAAATTTTTGTTAATGCACCAACACTTATGTCGGTGTAAACTATCAAAATGTTTGTGTATAACTGCGGTGTACAAATGGGGTACAATTTGTGGTGTAAGTGTAGCATAACCCAATAATCTGAAAGATCTATGTTGGTTTATCAGGTAATACTCGTACTATATCATGGATGAACATGAATGAATTGAACGTCTAATTTAGACCCACGATTCTTTTAATTTTGTACTCAAGTTTGTCTTTCAACAGTTTCAAGTCTGTTTTTCAACATTTTTAGATTTAAGGTAAAACTATGTGATTGTAATTTATACCCCGATATGAAAAAAGTACTCTGTAATATTAATCTGTACGTAATGGGCGCGATGAGGTGCCATATCGCCCCATGGCGCATTGGCGCCCCCTACACAGCCCGCTTTCCGAGCAATCTTGCTAGGTGTACACAAAGGAGGGTATCCCAATCATGCTAGGTGTGCACAGAGGATCCCAAGTTCATGTGTGTACTTATATTTTGATGATTCAAATTACAACCAGTTGAATTCCACAATAGTAGGGTTTGGAGAGGGTGTGTACGCCCGCAGACCTTACCTCTACTCGAAGGTAGAGAAGATGTTTCCAAAAAGACCCCTAGCTCAACGTGAAAAATTACATTGATTGACTAACTGCTACCTCACTAATTAAAAAAGCGCAGAAAGTTTAGAGATCTATTTTATTTTATTCCATCACACTCCAGGACCAAAGAATAGTACATTTTTGGCTCCATAAAGATCCTTCTCTAGCAAACCAAGAAGTCCGTCCAACGCATACTCCATTATCAAAATTAACACCACCACACAAAAATATCACAAAAAATACTCCATAATTATCCAAATTACCTGAACAAACTGGAGCCACTGTTGGATTTGTGTATGGCGATTGTGCACCAATTAGTGGGCTGCCTTAAATAAATCACAATGGGGCTCCAAAAACTCAGAATCCAAAAGCCTCAAATAAATCACAATGGATTTTCTTCTTCTTTGACCCCAAATTAATTCACAAAAAGTTGAAGCCAGTGATGTCAAACCAACAACTCAATGAACAATTAGCAATTGCGGCATATTATATGTTGAAGAATTGATATTCTTGCCGCGAGATCGCTGACTCCAAAGATGCGGCGGCGATGCAGGCCCTGGAAAAAAAACCTACACTTTTATTTTTTTCTCTCCACCAATTGATACGAATAACGTATCGGATAGTGAAGAACTTCAAGCGTCTTCGGGATCCAAGAAAAGGGAGGCAAAGAGATAATGAAAACTTCGAGCGTTTCCGGGCTCCAAAAAAGAAAGACAAGAGATTATGAGAATTCTTAATTATTGATTGATTGAATAATAATAGCAAAGGTTACAATATATAAAGAACGTAAATAACATAATTGACCTAATGGGCTCGGGCCCATACTAAAACCCTAAACCAATAATAATAAATAAATACTAAATAATAATATAACTAATTAAAATATTATAATTAACTATCCGTATCATACTCTAGTTTCGACAACTTGATTCTTAAAACACATGCAGAATCGAAGTTAGAGCTGTTGAGCGAGGAGTACATACTTACTCGTTTTTCTTGTTAAAAATACAAGAAAACTACGGAGTATAATTTTAACATTATAGGTTTAATATTAGTGACAATGGATAAAGCTCATGAAAAGATTATTAACGACATATGACTTGTCGTATTGAGATTTAGGCATACATATTTTTGACTAAAAGACTCTGCAGTAGAATCATATCATATGTATATATGTATATATATATAAAGTGGAGCGGATTAATTGTGGTTGTGCCATGTGTTATGCCATGTAGGACTTTTTATCAAGTGCCACGCCACGTGTAGCCACATAAGCTTTCTTCTACAAAATATTATTCCATATGTTTTTACAAGTCATGTCATGTAATAATATACTATATTTTTATATTATGATATCTTTTATCTTGCAATTTTTTTATATATTTCACTTTATTTTTTTAAAATAACTTTTTTGTAGAGTATGAAAATTCATTACAATTAAAGTTTAATTTATTTGTAAACAATCATTCGTGCATTTCTAATAGATTTAAAAAATTCATTATCGATAATGCCTAAACACATGCACCAATAACACAGAGTACGTGTTAACTATTAAATAAGAATTAATTTTATCAAATTATTTATAAAATCCTTCACTTTATAACACAAAATAATCATTATCAATATAAAAGATTAATAAAACCTTCAAATTTTTATAACATATTTTTGATAAAATAATATGGTCATGTCACATATTGTTTTGTAGAGTTTTTGATGTAGTTTTTTAATATGTAAAGTTAACTTTTTAATCTTGCTTCAATTCTCTAATAAATTGCATTGGAAATAACTTCAGTCAAACATCGTAAATCAAAACAGACAATTTAAATTGGGACAGAGGGAGTAATATAATTACTCCGTATAAAAACTTCATTGTATATAATTTTTAAAAGTATCCATCATTAATTTTATTTTAGAATTTCTCAAAAACATTATTATACAAATTTTAAATATATACATCTTTATATAAAAAATTTATAAAACACATACAGAGTATTATATAATTATTAGAAAATTAAAATAAAGAAAATTACATTAAGAGCTTGTCAGCAATTCAGAATATATACGAGCTCGTGCGAAACACGGGGTTAACACTAGTAATTAAATGAAATAATTTTATTTAATAAAAAAAACAACAACAACAAAAATAATATTCATAATAATAATAATAATAATAATAATAATAATAATATTAAACCAACGGTCCCGTTCCATGGCCACTGGAATCCAGTGACACAGCTCTGTTCTAAACAGAGCCGTTAAACCAAAACCCCTCTCGGAAATAACACGAAGTACTACGTGGGTGGAAGAAGCAAAATCTAAGGAGTGTTATTGTGGGGTGAAGAAGGCAGCCGCTGATCAATTCGCCGTTGTCGCTGCCGCCGGTCGCCGCCCTCCGTTCATCTTCTTTGTTAATACGATCCGTCTGATTTGTTCAATTATTGAGGTGAGTGGTGGTTCAAATTAATCTATAGATTAAAACTTCATTGAAATACACTTCCTAATAATTGAATGTTGAATTGTTGATTTGATTGGATTTGATTGAGGTTCTTGGCGTGTTAATTTTGAACAGTTTCCTCCCTAAATTTACTACTGGACCAATTTCAAAACCTTGTTTTTCTATTTCCCCTGTTAGGAATCTACTTGTGTTCGTTTGAGCAACAGATGCAAAATGTCAAACAGCATCAACCTTTTTCTGAAATCCCTTCCGCCATATTATGGGAAATTCTGGGTCGAGTTCCGATTAAGACGTGTTTAGCTTGTAAGCTTGTTTGCAAAGAATGGTATCATATTGTTGCCACTCCAGAATTCTCTTCTTTCCGCCGCTGTTGTAATGCCTCTCGATTCACCATCTTGTTTTATAACGGGTGGGTGTCTGGTGGCGGGGGTGTGGACATCCACATGGTCGAGTTTGAAAAGGCCTTGGATGTGGATGATTCTGATAATGATGTGGGCGTTGATGATCTGAGTATTATTAAGGTTCTACAAAAATTTGGCGCACCCGGTCAAAGATTGCACGTGAGCTCTCAATGCAACGGGGTTGTTTGTTTGGAAAATGACAATGATGACTACTTCGTGTGCAATTTGCTCACCTCCCAGTGTGTGAATGTCCTAGATGTGCATCAACTGAAGAAGCAATATGAAATAATCAGTTGTGAGTTGGGGTGTTGCCCGACCTCAGGCCAATTCAAGGTTCTTATTATGCTATGGGACACGGCGAAGAAGATCCAACTGGCAAAAATACAGACTTTGGGTGATGGTGAATGGAGGAGCATGGACAATGTGCCCTTGAGGATGCTGGGAGGTGGGTGTTATCTAAATGGGTCTAGTCACTGGTGTGGTCGCACCTACATATGGGTCTTTCATTTTGGGACGGAGATGTTCATGCGAATGCCCATACCTGACAATATCACCAGTGCGACTTATAAGAAGCAAAAGAAAAAACTGAGTGTTTTAGACTCTTGCCTATGTTTGAGGTGTTTCTCCCAATCCCCAGACAAGAGTCATGGTATTGTTGAGATGGACATATGGGTAATGAAAAAGTATGGTGTGAAAAGTTCTTGGGTGAGGCAAGTTGTCATAGTGACCAAAGCAATGAGTGTGCCTATGGTGCATATGGACAAGGGAAAGGTACTTGTAAGGACTGGTGTTAAACTAAATTTATATGATCCGCAAACCCAGGTTTCTAAGGTAGTGAAATATGAGCTCAATCGGGTTTGTAGTTACCTGGTGCCGTTCGCGGCATTTGATGCAAGATTCTCTAGGTTTTAAAGATTCAGGTATTCTTCTCACGTCTTGATTAACACTTGTGTTGCAAGTTTGTTCGCTTTCTTTGAAGTTTACGATCCTCTTTGGGATGACATTTGATGAACTGCTTTCTCATTTTAGCTTTTGCTTTCTTTGAAGTTTAAGAGCCTCTTATGGATAATATTTGATAAATTGCTTTCTCATATACAAGAAAGATACTTATAAAGAGCTCATTTTAGCATGCAAAAATAACTTCTTTTTTTTAAACTTCATTGTTATACAGCTTTTCTTACTCTACAATTTTTCATTGGGCATGTTAGGGGTACACTAAAATTGTGTATCTTATTTGTACACCAGTCGTATACAGTGTGTCTATGATCTACAGACATCTTGTGTTTGTGTTTGCCTGTGTGCAGATAGGGTACCTCTCGCTTTATTGTTTTTCATTTTTACAATACCACCATGATAAATGTGCACCCTCAATTTCCATGTTTTACCATACTCCATCCTTCCCAAGATTTGAATGTAATGATTGGAATAACTGAGAAGCAAACAAATCGAAACTGAAAAGAATGACCCCATTGAAAAAGAAAATTCAACAAAAATATGTGCAAAACATTGTGTTTATTCCCAAAATAAGTGTGATATGTTTTTATCTCTAAAATAAGATTATTAAAAGGTTACATTATGATATTGCATATTTGCACTCCACAATATTTTCTGGCATTATACTTAATTTGGCATTATAGGCAGTTTAGGCACAAAAAATTACTCTGGGTACCCTTAGTTTTCTGCGAGTTGGTATATGGTACATCCGGATGTACCTAGAAATAGGTACATCCCGGGAGTACTCATTCTAAAATAAAGTGGTATTCAATCTCGTACAAATATAAACACTCATTTCGAAATACGTAGTACTCATTCTGGCAAAAGTAATACTCATTTTAAAATAAAGAAGTACTCATTTTTACACATTTGTGCAATATTAATTTACAAATAACCGAATACACATTCTAAAAACTAGTTGTACTCATTCCCACTTAAAGCAGTATTCATTCTTGCCCTAACCTAGGATTCCAATCATCATCACTCCATCATCATCAACAGTCTTCCTTCTTCTTCTTCTTCATCATCACCGTAGCAGAGACTCCATCATCACCACCAGTCTTCCTTCTTCTTCATCACCGCATCATCTCTGCTGCAGAATCATCAGCAAAACCCCATCATCATCATCATCGGTCTTCCTTCTTCATCACCGATCATCATCATCGATCATCATCATAGATTCGCACATAATCCCAGATCCGACTTCCGATCGACCAGCCTCTTGCGCTTCCTTGAGCTCAAGTCCCGCGTTATCTGAAATATATTCTAGATGTACTTGAAATTCTTGGTAATGTACTCCTAGAATTCAGAAAAATAATATTTTTACATAAGTACTTTGGTATAAATCAACGAAATATTATAAAAAAATAAACAAATAGAGTACGATTAAAAATGGTATAAAAAATTAAACAAATAGAATATGGTTAAAAACCACACAAATGTTATCCATTCATTAATTTCTTTCTCGTTTCTTATTTTGGCAACAAAGTTTTAATAAATGTGTCATTATACGCATAATTTTTATTTACATTGCTCATTTTATTCCATCACATCAAAACCAACATGAAAAGTTCTTACATTTTTTAATTTTTCTTAATCTTCGTTCCAAGTCTAAGCGGAAAAGAATTTTTTGAAGAAAAAATAGAAATATTAAAGCACAATCTAAAGTGAAATAACATAAAAGTTCTAAAATAAAATACTCCCTCCATCCCAAAAAGATTTACACCTTTCAAAAAAATTGCGTCCCACAATCTTCTACTCATTTCTACTAAAAAACCACTTTTATCTCTTACTTTTTCAAACCTTACCTATCACATCATACCTTTTTTTCCTAGTAATCTACACATCACATCCTACTTTAACCTATCACATCAATGATGTTTTTGGAAAGTCAACACAAAATTATCCCTTCCTTAATTTCAACTTTTAGTCAAAATGTATAAATCTTTTTGAAACGGAGGTAGTAACATAAAAAAGAATAATTTCTTATTTTAATAGATACTTTGGTCTATTCTCTGTATCCAACCTAGACCTTGTTCTTTTCGTTCAATTAGTTCTTTTCTAATTTTAAAAGAACAAGTATCTGTAATTAGTAATACCTCCTTCGTTGCAAATTAATCTACAAGTTTATTATTCGCAAGGTCAGACTTTATTCACCTTATTTTCATATTTTGGTTACTCATTTGAAAAAATAATATACTCTTGTCACATCTTGTTTCTAAAACTTTTGATATAGTTTTTAAATATGTAAATTTGTTTTTCCATTCCGTCTCACCTATCAAATAAATTGTAAAGAGCATTAAAAAATAACTTCAATCAAACACTGTAAACTCAAACAAGTGATTTAAGTTGGGATAGAAGAAGTAAGTTAAAGAGAAGAAGCACTTAACCATGAAAATTTTCTTGTTGTTTAAATACTCGATATATATTAAAAAATAACTAGATAAAACAAAAAAATAATACATAATGTATGAATTATACGTATGAAATAAGGTTGAGATGTACTTCCCTGGTCTAACATGACGATCATTTTTTTCAAACAATTCAATTATCCATGATATTTATATACGGAGTACTAAGGTTCATATAAAACGAGTGTATCCACATAAAATTTAGGATTAAAGATTTAAGGAATTATCTTAAACTAAAGTAGAACAAGTAAAAAAATATGAGTTCCATGTTTTTTCCCATAATAAGAATTGTATTGTGGTAATGTTAAAGTGTATATTGACATTTCACAATATATTTTGGTAATATATATGGTCATAATTGATATTGTAAATAAATTTTAACTCCTATTTTGTGAAAAACAATACGAAACTTTATTTTAATACATATTCAAAATTTTACTCCTAATTTAGTCTTTTCAATTAAAAAAATTAAATTATACCAAGTACTCCGTAAAAATGAAGTAATCCTGCCATAGGTTGCGTTCCGTTCTCTTGATCTGATCCCATCTTATTGTTTTGAAGATCAGATTAGATCTTTTCTAATTGTAGTTATAATTAAAGCTATTTATGATCTGAACAGGTCTGGTTTGATCTAGTCTGATTTGATCTGATTATAATAAATATAAGTAACATATAGAAAAAATAAATTGAACGCTACGATGCCTTAGTATGATAAATTACAAATTATAAGGTTCAACCGGCTATACCATTTTTTAGATACAGCTGGCAATTAGATCGACGGAAGGGGAGGCACACCAGCGAAGGAGGGATCGGTCCAAGTGCGAGGATGCAGCGGCAATAGAAGTTGAATGTGGTGGCGACTGCGTGGAGGAGGCCACGATCAGCAATCGATCATCAGAACCCGATGGAATTTGAAGAGGATGTGGGATGAAGGTGATGTATGGGGAGGATGTGGGATGAGCAGTACTGTCAGCACGCCACGATGGTGCGGCGGTGAGGATATCAAATAGGGATATAGGATTAGATTTTCTTGCCAAATTTGAAGAAAATAGGGAGTAAACAATACTATCTTATTATTAGAGAATGAGTATCGCTTTGTTTCAAAATGAATACTATGTTATTTGTAAATAAGTATTAAACAAATGTATGAAAATGAGTACTACATTATTTTAAAATGAGTACTATTTTATTTCAGAATGGATACTACGTATTTTAAAATGAACGTCTATATATAGCTGAGAATAAATACTACTTTATTTCAGAATGAATATTACCCGGATGTACTTAATTCTAAGTATAACATGTTGTACCATATACACTGTAATGCCCAAAAATACGGCTTAATATTTTTAATTAATTTATATAATTAATTAATAAATGAGTCGGTCAATACGAAAATTATTTTCTAAATTACATTATTAATATGAGGGTTTACCCTACGTTGTAGAACTCGCTGTTCTGAATCTGATAGTGCAAATAGATTGTGAATTGGACCAAGATACGACTTAAGAATAAGGTATTTGGGTCTAATTGGCAACAATTAGATACGACTTAAGAGTATTGTCAAGGAAAATGCTAGAGTGCCACCACATGGGTGCTACCATGGGTGCACACATGCTTCACACAGATAAACACAGACGATAATTATCTGTGTCGCACAGACAATTATCGTCTGTGTTTGTCTGTGTGAAGCATGGGTGCACCCATGGTAGCACCCATGTGGTGGCACCCTAGCATGGTTCATATTGTCAATTGGCAACAATTGGGTCCAAATGGGTCCAATTGGGTTCAATTGGGCTATTTGGGTACAATTGGGTTTGTTTGGACTGATTTGGGTAATTGGCGGGTTGTTCGGGTTAGTGTGAACCACCAAACAGGTTGTTTTGGTCGGGCTTCCGGTTCGGGCAGCCAGATGGCTAGCGGTAGGGGTGCCGGGGGTTGGTCCGGTGACGGCGGTGACTGCTCCAGTGGGGGCAACTGACCGTGGATTGATTCCTTGGTCCTGAGTTCGCACAGGTAAGTTGGGTTAGTTGTAAATTGAAATTGATTGACCATGCATTACGGTAATCGGTGGGATTCCGATCCCCGATATGCCAATGTTTGTTTTGTATGTTGAATAATAATGAAACTCTGACTTGAATAGAAATTAATCTTATTGGTGAAAATTGTGAATTATGATTAATATTTGAAATATGTCACCTGATATAATTAGGCGGACCTGAATTGGATTGACTAATTGAATCATCAATAGGATATGACTAGAAAGTAGGCCATTATGGGGCGTCGTCGCACACCCGGTGGTCAGGTTAAAAACGTACGTACGGGAGTCCACGAACTATCCTGGCATTGCAGGGACGTGGGCTTCAACCTACCCAGAGTGAATCTCCTTGGGGTGTTCTAGAGCTGGCCCTTTTCCGCAAAGTCTCAGATTTACTTTCTTACTCCGAAGAACTTTTGGATATTCTTAAATTATTATGAATGGATGTTTATTTTATCTTAAATGGTTTTAAATAAATTGTGCATGTGAATACTAATTTAATAACAACCCGGTTCACTAACTCGTTGGTTCGGTTACACGAGTTGGGGTGTTACATACACTTCCATCCCATGACAAATTGATGCAAAAAAAAGAGTAAATTACATAAATGGTCCCTACTAATATGTGGTTTTCCATATTTGGTCCTCACTTATCAAATATTATCAACGTAATCTCCTTTTCTTTGGTTCCTTTCTGCGTTCAGTCCTTCGTCACTCATGTTGTTGTATACCTATTAAGTACGACATTAAAAAAGTAATTTTCCACCTGCACCTCTCAATTAAAGACCTCACCAACCCTCCTCATATAAGTGTTTCTTTGCATGGTTAGGGTGCATCATTCAGATTGTCATGTGCGTCAAAGATAGTAACTTTGGGCCTCTGTGATTTTGCGATGAAGACAAATACTGGGATTAAAGTTTTGAGAGATAGCTGAGGACGGGGAGGAGTAATTTAATTGAGAGACGGGTACAAGAAATTACCGCTTCAATCCTACATTGAACAGGTAGATAACAGTATGAGTGACGGAAAACTGGCCATAGAAAAGAACCAAGAAAGTAAAGACTCTACGCTTGTAATATTTAATAAATAGAGACTAAATATAGAAAAGTACCTATAATTAGGGACCATTCATTAAATTTATTAAAAAAATCTCCTTTTCTATTTCCAAAAACCAACTACTGGATTGCAGTCGAGTCTTATGCTTATCCCTAATTGGAGTGTTTGATTTGAAGACGGAGAAGAAGGGGGTAAATCGTTTATCTCTTCTCTCATTTGTGTATGTAGATTTGTATGCAATCTTTATATATATATATATATATATATATATATATATATATATATATATATATATATATATATATATATAATATTTATGATTTAGAATCCTCAAAATTTCCCAAATTTTATTTTATTTTTCGGTGATGCTTTTCACAATTCTGGATTGGAATTAAACTCATACGAATCGTCTTCTTCTTCTTCTTACTGCTGCTGACACAGATGATGAAGAAAGTGAAAGAGGATGAACCCATTTCAAAAATACCCTCCGCCATGTTGTGGGAAATTCTGGGCAGAGTTCCCATCAATACATGTTTAACTTGTAAGCTTGTTTGCAAAGAATGGCACAAAATCATCGTCGCTCCAGAATTTTTTCTTTCCGCCGCCACCGTAATTCCCGATTTACCCTCTTGTTTCGAAATGGTTGGGGTACCCGTGAGAGGTTGGTTTGTAATTTGGTTGAGATTGATAAGGCATTAGATGTTGATGATTTGGGTGAACATATAGTGGGCGTTGATCATGTGATTAGGGTCGAACCAGGAAGTCGCGTCTCGGATAAAATGTGGTATTTGATGTCTCTTTGCAACGAGGTTGTTTGTTTCCAAAGCGACGCATGCGATGACTTCTTCACAGTCAATTTCTTCTCGGGCCAACTTGTGAAGTTACAAAATACACATCAAGTGGTGAGTGAATCTTTGTATGAACTTGGCTGTGAAGTGGGGTGCTGCCCGGTGTCAGGCCAATTCAAGGTTCTCTTTTTGTTTAGGGACGATACCAATAAGACCATGGCAAAGATACAAACTTTGGGTAATGGTGAATGGAGGAGTGTGGGCAATGCACCCGTCTCAGTGCTTTATGAGGATAATTGTTTTCTGAACGGCTCTAGTCACTGGCGAGGTGTCAATTGTGTATGGTCCTTTCATTTTGGGAAAGAAGAGTTCTCTCAAATCCCACTTCCTGATGATATAATCTCTTCTGCCCATAAGAAGAAAAAACAATTGAATGCTTTTGGCACTTGCCTATGTTTGGGCATTTTCGACTCTTGCCTATGTTTGAGCGGTTTCATCGAGAGTGTTAGTGTCGGGGTCCACATATGGGTTATGAAGGAGTACGGTGTGAAAGAGTCTTGGGTGAAGCAAATTGCCGTAGTGAATGAGAATATATGGAGCGCGCCTCTGGTGCAGTTGGATATGGGAAAAGTGCTTGTAAGGGAAGGACATGGATTATATTTATATGATCCGCGGACCAAGCTTTCTAAGAGCGTGAAATTAGAGCGCAATGAGCCTGATTGTTGCTTCCCGACGGTGTTGGCTTCCGATGTAAAGTTCTCATGGTTTTAAAGATTCAGGTATTCTTCTATGGTCTTAATGAGCACTAGTGATTCAAGTCAGCTGTTTTTTAGTAGTTTATGAGACTATTTGCAATAGTTTATGGTGAAATTGCTTTCTCGCTTTGGCAACGAGTTGCATATATTGCCTTACGTGAGAGCTTTGACGCCGGATAGATCGGTAGAACCGCTCACTGCAACCCCAACGGACTGAGTTCCCACATCTAAGGCTGAATCTGATCATCCTTCAACCAGTTTTTCCTCTATAGGAATTCGTATTTCATCACCGCCATTCTAAACTTCGCATACATAATTATCACACTGCTTCCTTTGGAAGAATCAAAGGAAGCCGTTGTTGCTCCGGCAGCGGCAGTGTTGAGCCGTTGCTGCATTGCAATTAATGCAATTTAATAATTAATAGTAAGTTTATAATATACTCCCTCCGTCTAAAAAAAAACTTCCCGGTTTGATCCGGCACGCATATTAATGTGTGATAAAAATGGCCTTGACTTTCCAATTATACCCCCACACCTCAACAACATATATTTCCGTCCATCCCCTTGCAACCACCAGCCAATGACCCTCAAGCACCGTCGACGGCAAATCTCAGGCACCACCAACGGCGGATCTCCGGCGTCACCACCATGGATGGCCTCTTAAGCGCGTGCTTGTTTCCCCCAGCTCTTCTGTAATCCCCACCTTTTAGATATATTCTAGTTTTCGTTGAAGACAACCTGGGCAAAGGTGAATATCTTTAATCCGAGAGTTTAACGGCGAGAGGCGGGGTTGGGAGCAGATCCAACTGCGGCGTCACCTCCAATCATTGTCTTGCTGCTCCGGCGTTACCTCGATCTCCATTTCTGTGCTCCCAATCAGTAGATGACAAGACAATTAAAAGGTGGAGAAAGAAAAAAAAAGAAGAAGAGAAAAAGAAGAAGAAAAAAAGAGAAAGAAGAAGAATACGAAAGCAAAGAAGAAGAAGAATGAGAAAAGAAAGTAAAAAGAAAGAAGAAGATGAAGTACACTGACGGAATGAAGAGATAAAGTCACAAGAGAATGGATGGTGGTGGGTTGACTGACTGAGAAAAGAAAGAAAAAAAAGAAAAGATAAGGAATGGAGAGTGAGGGTAGTTAAGTCTTTTCACTATAAAAAAGTTTCCAAAAAAGGAAACGGGAAGTTTTTTTGTGGACGGATGAAAAAGGAAAGTGGGAAGTTCTTTTTTGGACGGAGGGAGTATAATTTAATTAAAAATATGTATTTTGGTAAAAATAAATGATATAATTTATGAAATAATAAATTTAAAAAATCGTTTAGGGCTGTTGTATAAGGGGTGGGGCGAAGTTTGAAATTATATAATTTATTTTTACCAAAGTACATATTTTTTATTAAATTATATATTATAAACTTACTATTTATTATTAAATTGCATTAATTGCAATGCAGCAACAGCTCAGCACCGTCGCTGCCGAAGCAGCAACGACTTCCTTTGGTTCTTCCAAAGGAAGCCAGTGTGATAAATATGTATGCGAAGTTTAAAAAGGCAGTGATGAAATACGAATTCCTAGAGAGGAAGAACTAGTTGAAGGATGATCAGGTTCAGCAACACATAATGACCTTAGATGTGGGAACTCAGTCCGTTGGGGTTGCGGTGAGCGGTTCTACCGATCTATCCAGCGTCAAAGCTCTCACATAAGGAAATATATGCATCTAATTTTTTTACATATAAAAAAATGCACCAATTATGTGACCTTTGTGATTCTTATAAAATTGCTCCTCTTATCTATGCAATTCTATGTTAGTTGATTATTGAATGTTGAATGAATTTGGACATACTTCATGTCTGCATTCAACCAATTTGTTTAATATATCAAGAACGTAGTAACAGTCACTTCAACAAGAACAGAAAGAGTAAGCATTAAGAATGTGCACTTCTTAAACTGCCAAAAACACCAATATTTCTTTGCAAACAATTTTCTTTCACCAGAGTTACTGGATAGAACTAAATAGTTTTTTAAGATACCCCGAGTAAGGCAGAAAGTGAAGACTCCCAAGTCCACACATCACGTAGAATTATTAATTATAAACATCCAGAGGAGGAAAAAGTCATTATCTTAATGGCATATTATAACAAAACAGTACCCTTCTTAATCTTTGATTTGTTTTGTATGTCTGAAACAGAAAATAACATCTGTTTCCTTTGTGATTTAAGTAGGGGTGGTAGAATGGTGTTGGACAGACTTGGCAAAAATGGACTTGACTTGTTTTTCGTTCAAGACCCGACCCGGTTTTAAACATAGGTTAACCAAGTCCGAAGATGACTGAACTCGGTATGAACTGCTAAAAATGGATCAAACCAAAACCCCAAAAAAAAACGGCCTGCTAAAAATGGGCTGATCTCCACCGAACCTGGCCGGAGCGATTCACTGAGAAAACCTCAGAAAAGATTTTCAAGTTTGATATATAATGTGAAAAAATGCTATTACAACTCAAAACTAGCTAGGCAAATAAAAACCAAAAATGGGGGGGTAAGTTCTGTGTAATAACAATTCTCTCACTTATTAGTTGTTTTGAAGTTCTGTGTAAGTTCAAATGGAGTAACCTGTCGGTCAATGATACAGAGTATTAATCTGTCGGACTTGTGTTAATACAAGATAGTGATATGGGTTTGTAACGAGACGAGCATATGATAGGGTTTGTTGGAAACTTTTTGGCTTATAATATGTGTGAAATTTAAAACGTTTTTAGCACTTCATTTTGTATGACATAAAGTGTTAATATATCCTAAATGCGTTGAAGGCGGAGACTAACTCAAAAAACGTGTGTGTGCCCCTCGCGTAAGCGGCGAGGCCAACAACGACAACTCCAAGAATACCGATATTTGGCTTTGAAAATCCAATGTTTATCGAACTTTATATTTAATTTATAAACTACTTATAAGTGAAATATTCTTTCGTGGAAGCAAAATGACTTAAACGATAAATAAATTATTTGTAAATATTCATTAATGATGGTGGATAGTTTTGTAAATAATCTGATCAAAGCGGGAAAACAAAAAAACTGACTTAAAAATAAGTAGATAAGACCTACTTATTTTTTCGCTCATGAGTAGCTTATAAATTAGTTTATAAATATACAGATGCCAATTGACTTATAAGTTAAAACTGTTTATAAGCAGTTTTGACCAGCTTATAAGCACAGAGAAACACATGCATAGTTAACCCTATAAATTTGTTTTCTAATCCAAAGTTAAAATTGTCTTGTCATCTACTGATTGGGAGCACTCAGATTGAATCAAAATTAGGTGCACCAAAAATGGTTTGAAAATGAATCATGTTAAAATGCACCAAAATCCTTTGAAAATGCACTATCTCAAAATCTGAGTGCAGGATGCAATCTGAGCCGCACGATGCATCAGATCCAAAGGCTAGATTTTATTCTTATTTCTTTCACCAAGGTACATTTTCACCTGAACTGGCCCCTATATATATATATATATATATATATATATATATATATATATATATATATATATACACACACACACACACACACATATATATATACACACACACATATATATATATACATACATACATATATACATATATATATATATACATATATGTTTAAACCACTCGTTCGACCAGTGAATCAGTACCTGGACCGGTTCGATCACCGATCTGGTTCTTAAAACTATGACTAAACCAAATATAAATACAAGTTTATATTAAATATTCGTTGAGCAATCATTAATTTTGTTTTTTTTCTATTCTATTTTGCGAAGTATTAGACCTGGCAAAACAAAACCGGAACCGAAATATCCGAAACCGAAACCAGAATGACCCGAAAAATGAAGATCCGATCTATAATCGAAAACCCGAAATGATCTGAATCAAACCAAAACCGAACTAAATAATTTATATCTGATTTAAATCCGAAACCGATTAGATCCGAAATCGATTAAACCTGAAACCGATTAGATCCGAACCCGATAATACCCGAAACTGATAAAATTCGAAACCGATTAGATCTGAAACCGATAATATCCGAATCCGATTATAACTAAAATCGATAAATTTAGAACTATGTTTGCCTTTCAATAAGCATATTATATTTTAAAATTTTTACTTTTATTTTATCATTTGAACTAATTACATTACTTGTTCATTCCCTCATAAAATGGATTATCTTCTTGAAAAGAAGTACAAAATTTTATGCCTTAAATTTATTATATGTAGAAATTAAAGATAAGTTATACATATAAATGATAACGCACAAACAAATAAAATTTCCGTAATTTTTAAATACTGAAGTTTGATATTCTTTTTGGGACGAAAGGAATATATGATGAATTGTATGGAATAACTAGATTTTATCCCAAATTCATCTCATTACTACAAATTTTATTGATTTGAGAGTTAATTGGATTTGTTTCAAACCAATTCACTCAATATTAGTCAATAAAATTAGATGCTAGTGTTAGCATTTTGAAAAGACTCTCTAGCGGCAGCCTTTACTCTTATCATTCTCAAATTTGATCTACACCATTACATTTAGGTGTAAATTAATTATATTTGACTCTATTAAATTTAATTTTCTCTATTTTCAACCAAATATACTCAATAATTTATAAATTTTGCACTCAATTAAATAAAATTCACTTAATTTCACCCAATTTTACTCAATCTTTATATATTTATATATTGATGATCGAAACGGCTGTTATGCTCGCGTTTTCAATTAGTGTTAGTGTCCGTTTGGTACACGGAATTGACGAAATTCGAATTGAAATTCTATGGAATTAAATTGGATGGAATTGAGTTTTTAATTCCAATTCACTTTTTGCAGTACCAATTCCAAATTCATATATTTTTGTGCTACCAAACACCAGAATTGGATGTTGGCTCTCAGCTGTTGGCAGTTCGTGTCAGCTGTTGTGAATAACTGTTTAGTTTAGCTGGTTTGACTGGTTGAATGAATTGGCTGATCATTAAAAATGTTTGGTAAAATTAGCTGTTTGAAAATAGTTTTTTCTATATATATATATATATATATATATATATATATATATATATATATATATATATATATATATATATATATATAATAGTTTTTTCTATATATATATATATAGACACACACACACACATACATACATACATATACACACACACACACGATATTTATTTTTCATTTTTATACATGTAAAAATTAAATCTTTACTATATGGAGTATTAAATTTTATTTTCATTTAATTCATAATAAATTATAAATATAAATTTTTTTAATGATTTTTGCTTTTTATTTTCTCATTTCATTTTTTTGAAATTTTTAAATCTTAAATTTTATTTTTTTAGTATTTAATTTTTTTAAATTTTATTTTTATTTCTATTTTTTACATATATTATAAAATATCTTTCACCAAAAATGATTTTAAAAAATTTATTTTATCCTAACCGTCAAGTCCAAATGCTACTCCCCTTGGCATTTCAGATTTTGGCTTTTCGGATCAAAATGCCAAGTGAAAAAGCCATTGGCCAAACAATAGTTTTGGCGGTTCGCTTGGTCAAAAAAAGTCCAAGTCAGTCAAAGATGCCAAAAGCTATCCCAAATGCTGTTTTCCAAACACGGCCATAGTTTATGAAATAAAAAATATTTTATATTCAATAAATGTTTGAAATAAAATTCATTATCTTTTGTCACTTCATATAGCCTATTAAAACAATCCAGGGGCAGTACTCCCGGATCCGACCAATGGTGCCTCCACTGGTATTTATAATAGCTTGAGAATCTCAACCTTTTGAATTAACTTTTAGAGTTGAATTGGTTCCAACTATTTTATCTCACATATTGAAAGAAGAGCTATTTGCTCTCTCAAGCATTTTCGATGATTGCCTATGTTTGAGTTGTTTTCGCAATGATAATAATGTTAGTGGTGCGATTGACTTAAGGATTATGGAGTATGGTGTAAAAGAATCTTGGGTTAGACAATTTACCATAGTGAATGTTAGTGGTGCGATTGACTTTTGTACATGCCAATTTTATATTTTAAGCTTCAATGTAATGACACTTTTATACATGCTTTGTGTTTGTTTCTTCATCAATGAAAAATATTATTTAAAGCTTCAATGTTATGAGATTTTTAGCTTCAAAAATTTAACTCATTTTTTGAGCTGTTGTATATTTAGCTTCTTTTAAGCTTCAATGTTGAGCCTTTTGAACAGGTCCATCTTGCTAACACTTTGATAGTTTGATTGAAGTTAGTTTCTTAATTTTGAAGTTAATCTATTTGTACAAAATACAAAAAATCCCTCTCATAATTTTGATGTCAATCCCATTGTGCAAAAAAGAACTTGATATTAAGGTTTATGATATTTGATTGAAGTTATTATTTATTTAATTTATTGTAATATTGGTACAAAATTAAATAAACCAAATCTATATTTTAAGAGGTTATATCAAAAGCTCTATAGAACAAGAGAAAGATACCTATATTACTCCAAAAAATATATTATGAAATAAAAAGAATTGACTATTTGAATAATAAATGTAAAAATCTTTCCTTGTATATGTAACATGTGTGGTGTGATCTTAAAAGAATGAGCAATGCTATGGGTACACCAAAGATGTACCTCATTTGTCCCCCACCCTTTTCTCCACCACTCATTTTTATTTATTTAAAATTTTTGCCCATTTTTGTGGTAATGGAGGTGTACCCCTAGCATTTTTCTAAAAGAATTTGAGGACAACTGAAGAATTAAAATATGCAAAAAGCCTGGGCTACACAGTTCTCCCTATCTCTGGCTACCTCTTTGAGAAGAGAGAAAGCCATGTGTATATGTAACATGTGTGGTGTGATCTTAAAAGAATTTGAGGACAATGTTTTTTAAAGAAAAAAATACGGTGCGTAAAAAACTGGTCTAGAAATTCATAGCCTTTGAAAAGGTTTACCAATGACAGCGTTTAGGTCTAGCATTTTTGAAGTTAAACTATATAGTTAAAATAATTTAAAATATTAATACTAATTGAAAACATTATTTTCAAACAAGGTATTCAACTAATATAATATAATTAATTATTTAATTGTACCAATCAAATTAGTTTATTTTTAAAATAAATGAAAGGTTTGAAGTGTCGTATATTGTATGAACATATGAATTTTAAAATAATGTTGAATTAAAGAAATAAATCTTTTTTCAGTACATTTTTTAATTCTCTTCAACTTATCTGATTCATTTCGATCTAATTAGAATAAGTTCTGATCTGATTGCAGTTATAGTTAAAAATAATTGTGATCGCATTTAGGGTCTGTTCCGTCCAACTTAACTTTAATTTTCAATTTATTATTCAATCAAATCAGATCTAGTTAGATGAGATCCCACATCACATACATTTTTTTAAAAAATATAATTGGAATAGGATTGCAACGCGCCCACACCAAAGAATAAATACGAAAAGAAGAAGTGAAGAACGATTTAGTGAGAAAAAGACCTATTTTGTGATTTGCTGCACCAGGAAAAACACAAACGAAGAGAAGACGAAGCTCAACCCTAGGCACCATTTATCTCTTTTGTCGCTCTCTCAGCATTTGAGGTTTGTGTTTGTAGAATTGCAGTCTGAATGGGTATATCTATGATAGATTGATGATCGGATTAGGTTTCGTTTAACCCAATCATATAATCTTCTTCACCTTATTTTCCCTATGTGGTAAGTAATGTGCTTTAATTTGGTGCTTGCTTAACAGAGAGAATTTTCTCTCTCAATGATTATTACTTCAATTCATTGCCCAAACAATTTCCCCTTTGAGCATTGAGTAATCCAAGAAACTTGTTTTTGAGCAACAGATGATGGCATTGAAAGAGCACCGACCCTTTCCAGAAATACCCTCTGCCCTGTTGTGTGAAATTCTGGGTAGGCTTCCGATTAAGACGTGTTTAACTTGTAAGCTTGTTTGCAAAGAATGGTATCATGCCATCGCCAGTCCCGAGTTCTCTTCTTTCCTCTGCCGTTTTATGGCCCCCCAACTTAATGTCTTGTTTTGTTGTTACTCGGGCGCTACTGTGAGATCTACTTTCAATTTGATTGGGCTTGAAAAGGGTTCGAATGCCGATGATTCAGGTAATTGTATTGTGGGTGCTGATGATCGGATTAGGTTTAAGCCGAAATTCGACATCTCGAGTGAGATTTTGTATGTGTGCTATCGTGGCAATGGAGTCGTTTTATTGGTATGTACAAAGGACGACTACTTCGTATGCAATTTGCTCGCGGGCCAGTGGATGAAGTTGCAAAATCTGCATCAAGTAAGGGACCAATCTTATGATGTTTCTCGTTGTGAGCTGGGGTGTTGCCCGGTGTCGGGCCAATTCAAGGTTCTTGTTCTGCTTTGGGATGTGGAGAGGAAGATCCAACTAGCAAAGATCCAGACTTTGGGTGATGGTGAATGGAGGAGTGTGGGCAATTCACCCTTGAAGATTGTGAGGGGTGGATGTTTTCTGAACGGGTCTAGTCATTGGCGCGATGACAAGTCTATATGGTCCTTTCATTTTGGGGAAGAACGGTTCTCGCCAACCCCAATCCCATTTCCCGATGATGTCATCAGTGAGGCCTACAAGAAGAAGAGTAAAATTTTGTGTGTTTTCGACTATTGTCTATGTTTGAGATGTTCCTCGTGCGTTGTTGGTGATGAGATTGACGTATGGATAATGAAGGAGTATGGTGTGAAAGAATCTTGGGTGAGGCAATTTGTCATAGTGAATGATCCATGGAGTGTGCCTCTAATGCATATGGATAAGGGAAAGATACTTGTGGAGAGTGGAAACAAATTATATTTATATGATCCACAAACTCGGGTTTCTAAGACGATGAACTTTGATGGGCTTTCTGGGTGATGGGTTCCGCCCGTGGCACTTGATGCAAGTTTCTTGAGGTTTAAAAATCTTATCAAATTATTATGTTACTCTTTGCCTAGTTTTTATTTATTTATCTGTTGGCTTAATTGTGTTAGAGTTTGTTTGAGCTAACCTTATGGTATAACTGCCTACCTTCTCATTTGAGCAAAATAAAGTTTCTTTTTTTACAGAACCAATGTTTTGATCTCTTAATTTAGCACTAAAAGTGTGTATTTTTACTAATTAAAAGACTTTGCATTTTCTTTTTTTTTTTACAAAAGAACCAAGCAGTTTGATTTATGGAGAACTTACTACGAGTGTGTTTGGTTCGGGGAAGGAAATTTTTTTTACCCCACATAAAAAATGATTTGAACCAAACACACCCTACAAGTTGGCTAGTTTTGGTCTAAATATTACAGAGTACCTTGATATAAATGTCCACTTTTGGCTTTGTTGAGTCCTAGCATTCATTGAAAACATACATATTTGGGACTTAAGGGTAGGCTTCATGTATGTATGTATGTATGTATGTATGTATATATATATATATATATATATATATATATTCCAGTACAAAACCAACCATACCATATTATGAAAGGCAGAAACCTTAATTCATCACTGTTTTAGATTGTCTCAAAGATATGTGAACTGTTTTAGATGAGTTAATTTACTAAGACATGTCTAGTTGCATCAGCTAGCAAATGTTTTCATTCCTTGCACAATGCCAAAAACCGAGTCAGAAGATTATATTTGTAGAAGTTTGATACTGCTGTTTTGAGTAGTCTTCGGAACCGTTGTGCGTGAATTTATGTACTCACTACTCATTGCGCAGTCGATGGCTCGATTCTTACTTTGACGGGAGTGTTAAGAATATCTCACATCGAATTTTTGACCCTCGGCGGTAACTTTTTGTGCTTTGACATCTTTAAAAGATGTGTGTCTGGATTTTTTAAGGTTTGATTTGATTGTAGTACGTGTAATGTGAAATTGTTGCTGATTTGATATAATCTAATTTCAATATGAAAAGAAAAAAAACAGAAGAGAACTGGGGCCTATTAGTGTTTACAGAAAAAAAAAATTGTATTATTCTGCAAATGAGGCAATGTTTTTAAAATCGATACTCTGTAATTCACAAGCAAGACTAATTGAAAGATTCTTATTACAAAATTGATTCTAGTGACTCGAGTTAGAGATCATATAATTTATTCTTAAAAAATTTCATTCTCTAATCTATGTACACGAACACTGAAAAAAAAGACATTTTCCTTTTTAATGTTTGAGTTTTTTACGCCATTTACTCAAGAACTCTTCATAGAGTGCATATTTTCCTCCCGAGATTTCGAGAATGTCTCATTAGTTTCCTCCCGAACACTATCTTTAAAACGTACATTTATTCCTCCTGAACTTTCAATAATGAATCATTAGTCTTTATATTTTTCATAAAACACGTGCTTTCCTCATTAACTTACAAAAGTGTACCTTGAGTCCTATAATTTTTTTTTAGAAAATAATGCATGGTGGAAGCCCAAAGAGTTTCTTTTTGTTTAGCGTCTTTAACCAAACCTGAATAAAAAGCAAAAAAAGGATGAAGAACAGTTGATGCTATAGATATCTCAGCATATGAGAGAGATCTTTCAGGGAAAGAAAAAGACACCAAAGAGGATGAAGAAAGCTTTTGGAAAACACTTAAACATGAAACATGATTATTTGAGGAAAGCTAAAGGGGTTAGACTATGAACTCTGGGTAGATCCTCAATCACTTACTTCTCATGGATCCTTATGTCGGTTAAATGGACAACCCAACAATAAGGACTGTAATTGTGAACTAGGATTATAACACAAGACCACATATCTATATTATGGCTGTGTAGATTATCTAAGGTGGACACAACAATAATAAAAAATTGCATTCAATAAAAAAGTACATCAAATTTTATAAATACCAAAAAAATTACATTGATTAGAAAAACACTAAAGCATATTATATTTAGCCATTGATCCCGTTTTGTTTTTTTCTCGTAGTACATTTTTTGGATTTTGTTAATGTATCAAGCTCTACTTCCATTATTTCGAGCTCTTCCTTATCTATCATCCGTTTCTCCCTCTCTTCTTCCCTAAGATTGAACAACTGCATTTATTCAACCATTTTCCTGCTGATATTGTCGTGAGAGGAAACACAGTTGGATCCTGCAAAATCCGACACAATTGATTCAGCCTTGTTTCTTCTAATTGACAATGGAATGGCGTCCTCGTCATCGAGGTCATCTAGGTTCACGGGAGTCTTTGTTCCAACGAGCCGATAGCATCTTCCACATAAATCTCGGCAGATGTTCTTTTATTTGACAATCCGGCCTTGGGCTTGCAGAGCTTTAGTCATTTTGGTGAACGGCTTAAAATTTTCCACAAATCAATGGAGACTTTTCCTTAGTGCCCATCGTCTTGATACCGGAGTAGTAGCTTGTCAGAGAATATCAGCATCGTTCGTCCCGCTCTTCCACCTCTATATACAAGTATTTAGCAACGTCATTCAGAAGACATTGAGCTTCAATGTCATCCTATGACATCGGCTGCAATTAGGTCACCTACAATGCCTGTTTCGAAAAATTTATGATTCTTACCTCTATCCTCTCCACCCCCCTAACCCGAAGTCCAAACCCATCCCAACCCCCGCTATTGCACCTCAACCCCCAATTTATTTGACTTAGAGATCAATTTTCATACCAATTGTTGAGAAAATCGTTTCAACTTTCTAGCTGAAACAATTAATAATATTCCCATCTTTGTATTGTCAAAATGGGCAAAATCATAGTACAACTGATGGGTTCTCTTCTCTATGTATATTTTAAAAAGAATATGATATCTTTTCGTGCATATTCGAGTCAAAATATACAAACGTGAATTGAACATGTGAAACCCACATAGAAAAAAAGGAGTAAAGAGATCATCATCATCATCAATGGCTGGCCAGCAGGTTGATCGCCTAGTGGGATCTGATTGTGCAGAAGAATTGAATTGATGAAGGGTATAACTGGATAGTTTTAGTTGGTGTGTTTGGTGAAAAAGAAAAATATGTATTTTGATATGGGAGTTAATATTGGCACTCCATAATTTGATATTTGCACTCCACTTTTTTTTTTTTAACTTTTACAAAGAGACTATATTGCCCTTTTTTATTAGAAGTACAATATCCCCACTATTTCATATGCTTTACGTGGCCTAATTTTTATATTTTTAAAATTTTTTCACTTAAAATAATTTTCTCTCCATGTCAATTCAAATCGCATGTTGTTGTTTTACTTGTTTACAAAGTTTGACTAAAATTGTTTTTAACTCAATTTATTTAAAAATTAGAGATGAGATTTTAAACGTGGCATGGGAGACCATTAATTTTAGGGCAAATTCGTCTAAGGTTTATTCTCATTTTATAGACCTTAGTGTATTAATATTGTTAAAAAATTGAGTTTTTAGCAAAAAAGATTTATTTGACAGCTTATAAAAAGTATGAGATGGTCTATATCTCATATGTAGACCTTAGAATCGAACCTCAGAAAAACAAGTCTAGTTCTAGATAGAGAAGTATTAAGCTTTATTTTAAAAATGATGTTTAGTCTAAATTAAAATTTCATTTTCTTCCTTTGAGATAAATGACCCGTTTGATCCGAGAGGACTTTTATCCTTAGTGGGGTTCATCTTTTTTAAATTTAAAAATTAAGGATGGAGAAAATTGCATAATTTTTTTTTCTTGAAATACAAATCTAGTCTACCATTAAAAAAATAACTTAAAAATGACTATTTATTATTTAGATTTTCATCTTCAACCCATACACTATTTTTATATTCAGAATTACGGAGTACAAAATTTGTTAAATTATTTGGGGAGGAATGTGAGTGATGCGTGTAGAATGAGGAAGAAGCATTTTTAGAGAGCAATAATGTCAATATTTGTAAAGAATTAAAAAAGTGGAGTGCCACTATTAAATTTTGGAGTGCATATATTATTTCCCTTTTGATATCTCCTATATCAAGTTTCCCATTTTGGTGTTTGGTGAACTAAAAAAGGAATTCAACTTTCAAATCTGGATATATTGAAAGCGGTGGATCTGATCTATCTTGATTTTATTCATACTCGATGCCCTGTCTTTCTCACCAAACACTTTTGAGTCAGATTTTAAAACTCATATCATTTCTTCCAAATTTCAAAATCTGTATCTTATCATACATCCAAAACTCACCAAACAAACCCTTAAGATACAACAAGAAGTTTATTTTGGAATCAAAGAAGGAATACAGAGTAATATAATCTTCAGTCTTTTCTCTTAAACTTTCAAGTGGTTTTTCGCAATCTCTCATATAATACTTTGACAATCAATGCATATATTTATACAAATATTTAGCAACACTATTTTGAAGACATTGATCATCAATGTCATCCCGNCCGCATAAAGTGCACCCCAACCCCTAACTTTAGTTGATTTTGAAGTCAATTTTCATACCAATTATTGGAAAAATCACCTCAATTTTCTAGCAAAAGCAATTAATAATTTTCTTGTCTTTGTGTTGTTAAAATGGGCAAAATCATAGTGGACCGATGGGTTATCATCTCATTTTAAATTTAAAAAAAAGCATATTATATTTTTTCCTGCATATTGGAGTCAAAATATACAAACTTAAACTAAAAAATCAAGCCAAAAGAAAATGTCTAGACAGAGGGAGTATTATATAATGTTGATTATCAACAAACACACATTAGAGTATCAATACATTTAAGTTTCAAAATAAGATCCACTTTGCAATCACAAAAAGAACAAAAGCTAAGGAGAGAGTTGAAGATGTCTGTTGGCCACCAAGTCATGCATCCTTCCTAAACAAGAAGGAAAATTCTGCTGTAGTTTAGAAAGCACCCACAAGTGTGATTTTCTGCAGTGGGACTATCTTCATGTGGACGCTTTGAATTCCAAAAAAAGGAAAAAATAAATCAAAGATTAGGAAGGGAATTGACAATTTTCTGCAATAATAAAGCTTAGCTAAACCACAAAAACCCCCAGTTTGGTGCAGATAAAATGTTTAAAATAATAAGCTTATTTTATCATAAGTATGTTCTTCCACTTCCTCCAAGTGCACAATAATAATATTGTTCATCAATACTGAAATTAAACTAAAACTAAGGTTTTTTTTTAAGGAACTAAAACTAGAATTTTTGGTTGGAGTGAAAGGAGTGGAGTGGAGGGAAAATGATTTTCTACGTAGTCTACCCGTCTGGTTCATAACTTTTCTTCAATGGGGGACTAAGAATTTTCCTTCCCTCCCCCAACCAGACATACCCTTAATGTAAAAGTGTTCGTCACGAAATACTTCAAGTTAAACACAACAATAATCCATTAAAACTATAGAATCTCAAGCATCTAGCCCACCATGGCTCGACGACTATGGATAGGGGGCTCTTATCAATACTGATTGGATGACATCTATGAATACAATGGCCAGTGTTAAACAAGAGGGGATATTACTTTGCTTATCAAGAAGGACCCAACTCAGAAGCTACAACTAAGGCAGCTTATGCTATGGAAAAACAGCAGGCAAACAAGATTGCATTGTTATGGGGATCAGAACTCTAGGTTATTTACATGTCTAGATTAAGAAGAGGAGGACTTAGAGCTACATCTCAGGAGGTTTCTAAGGACTTTATCGACTTTTTCTGTAACAGTTTGGGTATCACTAAGGATGCTAGTAATATTAGTGAAGAGATTATTCAATGTGGTAGCTAGTAAACTCTCTATAACCCAGCAGTTACTGTTGATTGCTCCTGTAACACAAGATGAAGTGAAGAAGTGCCTGTTTTCCATTCCTAGTATGAAGAGTCCTGACCCAGATGGATACACTAGCAGTTTCTTTAAAAAACAGTGGAATATTATTGGGGACCTCTTCACGCATGCAGTACTAGAGTTTGTCAATACTGGGAATATCTGAAACAAATTAATGCTACCACTATCACCCTTATACCTAAGATAGAGATGGCTAAAACTCCTGATTTCAGACCCATATCTTGTTGTAATGTGGTATATAAGGTTATTTCCAAAATATTGAGTGGTAGAAGAATTAAGAAGGTTCTTTCTGATATAGTAAATGTGAACCAAGGAGTCTTTATTCTTGAGAGATCTTTGGTCCATAATGTGCTTATATGTCAAGAACTTGCTAGAGGCTATACTAGGAAAGAGGTGTCCTGAAAAATTGATATTAGGAAGGCATACGATAATGTTTGTTGGAAGACTTTGAATCAGATTCTTCATGCTATGAATTTCCCACACCAGTTTGTTTCATGGACTGTTTTCTGCATTGCAAGTACATCTTTCTCTGTACAAATCATTGGAGAGGTCTTTGGGCACTTTTATTATGGTGGTAAAGGGCTAATGCAGGGAGACCCCATATCCCCCCTCCTCTTTACACTTATTATGGGGTACTGGATAGTGGGGGAAAAACCTAATGTTATTCAGAGGGAGGTGGCTTGGAATAAATGGACTATCCCAGAACTACAATTCATTCTCTGGCTGATATGCTGGAATTGACTCCAAACAAGAAGTAGATTGAGTAAATTCCTTACAAATAGACACCAGCTGTGTATAATGTAATGGATCAACAGATTGACCACCTGTTTTACAGATGTGGTTTTGCAAACAATATAGATGCAGGAGATATGAACAGGATTTAAATTTGAAGCTTCATCAATCATAGACATTGTTCTCAAATTGAGGAATATCGAGCCTAAAAAGTGGAGGTTTTCTTTGATTGGCACATTTGCAGCTTGCTGCTACTCTATTTGGAAGGCTAGGAACAATTATTTTCATATTAAAAAGGATCCTAATCTGCAGCAGATTCTTCATTGGCTTAAAACTCAAGAAAACATATACATTACTAAGAAAAATGAGCTGCGATTTGTATTGGTGTTAGTTGATGTGTAGGGCTGTGTCCTCTATGCTTTGTACTAAACTGTGTTTTGGCTTAATATTATTTGCTCTTGGTTATAAAAAAAACAATTCGAATCAATTCATGGGGGAAAGTTTTGATCGATAGCTCATACCACATTTGTATCAAGGCCAAGAACTAGGAAATTATGCTATACTTAACAAAAAACAATGACCAAATATTGTAGTTACTAATCACTTATAAGTTTAATGAGTCACTTATGCAAGGCTTGTGTTCCTTTCTGACAAGGTGGATAAGATCAATCTTGCAAAGATACACACTTTGTAAACATACGAAGTATCCCTCCCCCCCCCACCACCACAAACAAAAGAAAGAGCAACAGGTTGGTTCGTTTTCCAAAAACAGGGGTTTTTTTCGTTTTCCACTAAAAATCACAAGTCATTATGTTTTTTCGTTTTCCACCACTAAAATGAGAAAGCAGTTTTATCGAATGTTTTCCCAAAAACACAAACTTGCAACATAAATGTTCATTCAGATTTCAGACATTAGAAGAATACCTGAATCTTTAGAATCTAAAGAAACGTGCATCAAATGCCGCTAACGGCACCATGCAATTAGAAAGCCCGTTGATCTCAAATTTCACTTTCTCAAATACTTGGGTCCACGGATTACATAGATATAAGCCATCTCCACTCTTTATAAGTATCTTTCCTGTATCCATCTGCACTAGAGGCACACACCATTCATCAACCAATATGACAAATTGTCTCACCCAAGATTCTTTCACACCATACTCCTTCATTATCCATACCTCCATCTCAACTCTATCACTCTGGTTACGGGACCGGGAGAAACATCCCAAACATAGGCAAGAGTCTAAAACAGACAATTTTTTCTTCTTCACATAAGTTGAACTGATGATGTCATCAGGGAATGGGATTTGCAAAAACTCCTCCTTCTCAAAATTAAAGGACCATATGCAGGTCGGACCACACCAGTGATTAGACCCATTTAGAAAACATCCATTGACCAAGTTCCTCTTCCTCAAGGGTGCACTGCCCACACTCCTCCATTCACCATTACCCAAAGTCTGTATCTTTGTCACTTGGATCTTATTCTCTGCGTCCCAAAGAAACAAGAGAACCTTGAATTGGCTTGTCACTGGGCAGAATCCCACTTCACAACGAAATATAATAAAAGATTGCTTCTTTAATTCAGGAAGATTCTGGAGATTGAGATTCACACACTGGCCAGTGAGCAGACAGCATACAAAGAATTCATTTAGTCCACTTCTGAAACAGACCCCACCATCGCAATGATACTTCACAGACCATATTTCACCGGAGGTGTCAATTTTTGGCTCAAAGCAGATTGGATCATCAACATGCACAATACAATTACCCAAATCATTGACATCCAATGTCTTTTCAAGCTCAACCAAGTTGAAAATCAGTCTCTTGCCACCACCCCGGCCATTATAGAACAAGATGGTAAATCAGGAGGCATTACAATGGCAGCGGAAAGAAGGGAATTCTGGACTGACAATGATATGATACCATTGTTAGCAAACAAGCTTACAAGTTAAGCATGTCTTAATTGGAACTCTGCCCAGAATTTCCCACAATATGACAGAAGGGATTCCAGAGAGAGGTTTATACTGTTCAACTTTCTTCATCCGTTGCTCAAACAGGTTCAGTAGAAAGCAAAACGAACAATATTTCCGAAAAAGGTCAACAATGTTTCCCCTTCTTCATCTGGCAACAGTAAATTGGACTAGTAATTGAGAGAGTGGATTCTTGATAATACCAGAGCACATAACAGAATAGGGAAAAGAAGCTTAGCATTGAGTGAGTTTTACTCCAATAATCCAATCAAAAGTTGTTAAAAGCATCACAGAGTAAAGATTGGGTGAGTTCAATTCCAGTTCCAATTGAATCTAGTGCTGGTTGAGTGTGGATGACTGATCATAAATATGAATTTAAAGATTGCACACAATTCTACTAACACAAAAGCTAAGAGAGTGAGAAAAAAAGATTTACACTTTCGTCTTCAAATCTTTTCCCAGAAATTCGTTCTCTCTGAGTCTCTGGTTTGCGTTCTTGGGTTCGTAAAAATCACAAAATCCTTCTCTTTTAGCTCTTTATCCTATATTCCAACTACGGATAAGCATATGTAATGGGCCGGTTCTGTACTAGTTTGGATCTTGGTAAAATATGAAGTGTTATAAAATGGAAGAAAAATACTCAAAGATTATAAGATAAATATGATATACTTCCGATTTCTTCTCTCTATTAATTCTTCACCCTTCTTCTTGTTCTTAATAATATTTTTGCAGGGATCCTAAGATTTACCTTTTCGTCTTCAAATCTGCTTTCGCCAATATTTTGTCTTCCCCTTCGTCTTCGCTTGCGCTACAGGCGCAACAACTCACAGAATCAATCTTCTTTCACTCCATTTCCGTAAATTGAGAGCTGAGGTAGGGTTTTAATACTCCGCAATAGGATTTCGAATTAGAATACTCAATTTTTTGCTTTTGCTTGCTTATTTTATGGCATTAATTTGTTGTGAATCATATTTTCGAAAATAACTTCATATTCCGTATACACTTAAAATTTGGCCCGGAGAAGAAGGTTGGCCAGAAATAGAAAAAGGTTGGTCCGGGATTGGCCCAGCCGGTGGGCCCTAATCCAATCCTTATCCTAATATTTGAGACTCAGTACTCTAAACTTTTGACACGTGGATAATCTATTTGGCACTATTTTTGATAACTCAATCTTCAACCTATGTTATGGGATAATGACTTGACAATTTTAGAGCTTTTAAATATGCAAATATAGTGTAAACCTACTTTATGATACAAAAAAAATTGCATAATCTACATTGGTGAAAAAAAGTGTATAATAAACAATGCATTTTAATATTAAAATAAATCTTAAATTCAAAAAAATTAAAACAATGAAATATAATCATTCTAAAGATAAATTACTCTTTGTGAGCAACAACCCTTACAGAAAATCCACTAATAAACTTACTACGGAACATATTTTAATCTAGAATTAGATATCAAATAGAGAATGTTTAAAAACAATGAAATATAATCATTTCCTCAAAAAAATATAATCATTTTAAAATCAAACTCCTCTATGTTGGGCAACCTATCCATTTTATTAATTTATTGAATTATTTGTAATTCAAATTTTGATTTATAATTATTTTTAAATTATTGGGTACAAATGCTCTAATTAAAATACGGGGTAGTAGTGTTGTTAAAGAAAATAAACTTATAAAAAGTTTGTTCTTTAGAGTTGAAAAAAGTAGGACAAAAAAAGTTGAATGTCGTAAGAAATTGGTAAAAAATAAAAAAGGAACGAGAAGAAAGTTGAATAAATTGGAAAAACTAGAACGAACATGGAAAAATCAAAGAAAATGCCAAAAACTAAAAAAAACAAAAGAAACTAAAAAAATCGAAGGAACCTTAAACTTATTAATTGTATTATTATTATTATTCTTATTATAATTTTTATTGTTATTGTTATTAGTATAATTACTATTCTTTAATTTAAAATATTGATATTTTCCTAGATCAATTTAGATTAATAAATATAGCTCTTCTATTCATAATTTTTAGAACATAGTTTAGTGTCATGTGAACTACTCGAGTCATAAACAAAAATATTATATTATTTCTATTGAACAGAAAGATAGTGAATCACTGATACGGTATCGTATCGGGATAGGGAAGGATTTCGAGCACCTTCGAGCTCCAAGAACAAAAGAGACAAGAAAGAGAGAGATTAAGGTTTAGGAGAAAGTAATTTCTTTATTCATTGATTAATAAAACTATATTGATGGATACATTTATAGGCTCCAACTCTAAAGAATCTCAATAATAAATGGTAACTAAATAATTAATAATCCTAATTATAAAAGGTAACTAAATAAACTAGGAAACTAATTAATCACCTAACAAATATAATATTTCCTAATAATAGTTAACTAACTATAAATAATTCCTTACCATAATAATAATAATAATAATAATAATAGTCCCTTAACACTCTCCCCGCCTCGAAAACCAACTTGTCCTCAAGTTGGAAATCTAGAAAAAATGAGGAATCATGCATTGTGAACAGACATCCTCCGGGGTCAAAGACCTTTATGAATGGAGCATCAAAAGATTCGGCCAAACTCAAAGCATTCACAACTCCTAGCAAACAACTCCAGAGAACCAATGAGAAGAAAATTCTGCCAGCACGCGTGACATCCCTAGAATCATAAAGGACAACAACGTCACTTTCTGACATCCCAAATGTTTCCGTGCATACATAAAAAACGATACCATCGCTTGAATATTTTGCTTGGATAGTGTGGTCTCGTTGATCGTCACCAGAAACATCAATAACAACATCAACAACGGCAACAGGAACAACATCTATGAGATCTATCATATGATCATCATCAGGAACACCAACAGGATCAATAAAAATTTCCTTTTCACATTCCTGGTCCTGCAAAGTTGTGTTCTGCACAGGTACTGTAGGGGCCGAATCTAGTGGAGTGCCGATGAGTTTCCTTATACTACGCATCATGGTTGTGTTGAAAAGGTATAACTCTATAGGAATCAGGCTCGGCATAATTGGGAGGCCACGAACTAAATCCTGTATTGAGCAAAAGGCTTCTACGGCGAACGCATTTACGTCGGAATCATATTTTGGTTGACCTTCAATTTGACGGAATGCCTGAAGTTTCTTTATAATCTCATCCACGGAATCTTCAACTGCACACACTCCTTCATAAAATTCAATGTCCCCGTAGAACTTTTTCGAGTAAACCAAGAACTTTGTCTAACAGTGAGTCCATTGCCAAAATAAACACCACCACACAACACAAACTTACTGGTAAATGTGTTTGCAGCAGTACACTTCAACTTGATTGATCAGGCCAACCCTACGATTCAATTCAAATGAATCGCTGGACGGAGGGCGGCAATTTCGGTGACGGCGTGGTGATCAAATCCCTTGGCAGCCACTCAATTGAGGGAAAAAAAACAAAGCATTCAAACCATGAATTTTTATGCTTTAGTGGCAATTATTATGCACTGCAAAATTTGAGGCTAGTGGATTGAGGTGGTGGCGGCACAAACTAGATGAAAAATTGGATGGGTGGCCGATTAAAAACCCTTTTTTGTTGTTGTTTTTTTTGTGCGGATGCGATATGAGGGGATGAGTGGCGGAACAATGGGGTGAGTTCAAAAATGAAAGCACCAATTGATACGGTATCGTATCGGGATAGAGAAGGATTTCGAGCTCCAAGAACAAAAGAGGCAAGAAAGAGAGAGATTAAGGTTTAGGAGAAAGTAATTTCTTTATTCATTGATTAATAAAACTATATTGATGGATACATTTATAGGCTCCAACTCTAGAGAATCTCAATAATAAATGGTAACTAAATAATTAATAATCCTAATTATAAAAGGTAACTAAATAAACTAGAAAACTAATTAATCACCTAACAAATATAATATTTCCTAATAATAGTTAACTAACTATAAATAATTCCTTACCATAATAATAATAATAATAATAATAATAATAATAGTCCCTTAACAATCACATCCATAGTGACATGTGAAAAATAAAAACAGAAAGATTAAAATGATTTATAAACTATAACTATGAACATAATAACAATAATAATACTCTTGGGAGATCTATTTAATTTAATATAACGATTTATTTTAGATAATAATGAGTGTGTATAACATAAATAGTGACATAGGAAAAAATAAAAACAGAAAAATTGAAATTATGTATAAGCTATAGTTATAAATATAATAATAATAATAATAATGGGACATATATTTAATTTAATATAATGATTTATTTTGGATAATAGTAATAATAATCACATTAAAAATACATCGTTTTTTAGATTAATTGTTTTTGTGAAATATAAAGAGTGAAGAAAATGGAGATAGTTGGAAAAAATTGTAAAACTTAGAATTAGAAAAAATTGGAAGAAATTGAGAAAACGAGAAAAAATTGGTAAAATTGTCAAAAAATCGAACAAACTAGAAGTTGACTTTAAACCCAAAAGAACAGACTCTAAATATGGAATACTTGATAATTAAGGATATAAGATTTCAATTCATTGAATATTAGAATTAATTAAATAAGGAAACGGAGTTAATAACTTGAGGATGTGATGTAATTATTTTCTATTAGCGATGTAATTTTTTTGTGAAATAATTAGTTTTATTATAGAATACTAGTATCACACCCGTGCGTTGCACGGGTCATTTTTATGTTATTAAATTCAGATCATTTTTCAATGATAAAAACTGAGATGCAATAGAATATAGAGATTATATTATTTGAAAGTACAAAACATCAATGTTTTACAAATTTCGAAAGACTTCTTTATAGACTACATTATTTGTAGTATTTGTGGGAGTATTGTCTTCATTGCATATCAGAATCTTCAATCCACTACGATTAGTTACTCTTGAAACTGCAACATAGAGATGTCCATGACTAAACACAGGTTTCCGTAACAGTAGTCCAACATGTTTCAGAGATTGTCCCTGGCTCTTGTTAATCGTCATTGCGTACGAAGTAACCACAGGAAATTGTCTTCTTTGAAACTTGAAAGGAATTCTTGTATCGGACGGTGTTAATGATAGTATTGGAATAACAACTTCTTCACCCATGTGGCTTCCTGATAATATTTTTCCTTGTATTGAGTGATTAGCCAACCGGGTTACTATCAACCGTGTACCATTACACAAACCCATTGTGGTCAATATTTCTCAACAACATAATAGGCGTGCCTAAATGATTTGAAAAAAAAACAATTAGAGTAAAATGTTGTAACAGACACTTGCTCTAAATGATTTGAAAAAAAAATACAATTAGAATTAAATCATTGGGTACATGTCTTTCAAAATTAATTTGAATTAATTTATGAATATATACCATTGTAGAACTTAGGTTTGCCCATTTGCAACACCAAAATTGGAAAGGGCGATTCCGATGCACTCAATCCATCAATGAAAACATTGACGTGATTTCCTCATAACGTACAATTCAACCGAACGCCACTATAAAAAAGTTATAATTATTTTTAAATTTAATATGTGTCACAATTTTTTAGTAATTAGCTAACCACGAAATAACGTATCATGCAAACGAATTATTTAGTAATTTTTTCAAAGTATAAATTTTTTTTAATTAAAATGAATTTGGTTATTAAAAAGTCCCTTACTTGTGGTTCTCCAATGTAACTTCCATCATTTGCTCCGGGGCATTTTTAACCATACGGGTTTCGAGCATAGTTCGACTAACTACTTTCCCGATTATATATGAAAATCCATAAAAATACAATTTTAAAAATTTCATAATCATAATACATAAAATGTATTTCATATGTGTAAGTATTTAAGTTATGTAAATGTAAATGACCCTTACCAACTAAAAAGACTTGGTCAGCAAACTTTGTTTTGAGAACATCTTCAAAACTCTTAAAGTAGAATCGAAAATTAGGAAATCCATTGTCTCTTAGTTTTTGAATCTTGGTCTTTCCCAAAAAATGGAGCATGCAAGGGTGATTAGTAGTCTTTGTGCCTTGGAAATTGTGTAAAACCTTGACCCTCATGATTAAGTAAACCGCATTTTCTTGCAAATCTTGTTTGAATGAGCTTATATCAGTATCTTTGATCTGAGCATGGATCCGAGCGCCCTAACAACAAATATAAAATGTTAATCTATAATTAAATTTATATTTTTTGTTTAAAAATCTATTATTTGTAAAATATAAAACAATGTAGAACTAACCTCTGAGTCGTGGAAAACAACATCCAACGATTCCGGTCCTCGAGAATGAGCAGCAACGTGGTAAACTCTAATTACTCTTAGCTTCATCATCAACAACCCGGATTTTCATGAACATTTTTTAGGGCGGTAATCATCACTCCCATCTCCGGCCAAAAACAGAGGTGAAGCAATTAATTAAAACTCTCTAAAACTCTTGTTTCCTGAACACTCGTTTAATTTACTGGCACGGTAAGGTAGCGTATTTATACTATCCAAAATTTTCACGAAAAGTTAAAGTTTTTTATGGTAATGGTAATTATAATTACATACAATTTGGTATATTTTCAATGATTTACTCTTATTTTAGTCATTTTCCTTTTAATGTTTAATTACTTTCCGTCTTTCCGTTCATGGAGTAATTTACCTTTGTATAATTTTATTACAACGTACTTCAATGCTCACATTATTTTTGGATAGTTATTGGTTTTATATTTTGTACTTTGACTTCAATATGACTTCAATAAATCACGTTAAATTTATTTAAGAATCAAAAGGTTTCCTTTTTTTTAATATTATTTTTATGGTTCTTAATGTTTTAAAGGTATTTCCTTTTTTAAAGGTAGACACCAATCACTTCCCTTAATAAAAACCCTTTATTTAATGCACACGAATTCTAAAAAAAATATGTAACAAATCTCGCAATTAAATTTCTTTCCATTACAAATATTTCCATAAATATTGTTAGACAAATTACTAATCGTTATTGTTAGACAAATTCCATAAAAATTTAGTGCACTAAATAAATAATTCAGTGCACTAAATTCCATAAATAATTTTCATCACTAATCGTCTCACATATAATTCTTTCTCCGGAATTTTAAGCAAATACAACTAAAATTTATTATGGTAATTACATCTTTAAATACCTTTTCTGTTATATGTTCTCATTTTCTTTAGTTACCTTTTATTTTACCATTCGTATAAATGGTTTTATTTCATACGTTTTTAAATACAAAAATATAGGAGCTAAATTAAATAAAATTTCCATTTGTACCTTTTTTATACACGTTTATATTAAATAAAGTTTTTTATGGTAATTACACGGCTTTATTAAATTAACATTCGTAACGATTTTAATTACACGGTTATATTAAATTACCCTTAATAAAAACCCTTTATTTAATGCACACGAATTCTAAAAAAATATGTAACAAATCTCGAAATTAAATTTCTTTCCATTACAAATATTTCCATAAATATTGTTAGACAAATTACTAATCGTTATTGTTAGACAAATTGCATAAAAATTTTCATCACTAATCGTTTCCCTTATTTAAAACCCTTTATTTAGTGCACACATATTCCAAATGGTAACATATAATTCTTTCTCCGGAATTTTAAGCAAATACAACTAAAGTTTATTATGGTAATTACATCTTTAAATACCTTTTCTGTTATATGTTCTCATTTTCTTTAGTTACCTTTTATTATTACAATTCGTATAAATAGTTTTATTTCTTACGTTTTTAAATACAAAAATGTATACAAAAATATAGGAGCTAAATTAAGTAAAATTTCCATTCGTACCTTTTTTATACACGTTTATATTAAATAAAGTTTTTTATGGTAATTACACGGTTTTATTAAATTAACATTCTTTACGATTTTAATTACACGGTTATATTAAATTACCATTTTTAGTTGAGATTACCATACACGGTTACGATTTTAATTACACAGTTACATTAAATACCATTTAATAATTACCATATGTAGTTAAGAATTACCATATTTTATACACCATAAAATGAGCGGGAAAAGGCCAATGCAAATTCATGCCTTTTTAAATAATAGATAGATAAACTATTAATGGCAGAAATATGTTTAGTTACCTTTATGTTATGTTTGATATCTTTAATTATGTTAAAAAAATACATTTTTAAATAAAAACTACTTAATATATTTTTACTTTTTTGTGCTAGATTTTGCTTCTTTTGGAAGAATGCAAACTCATATTTTTAAACAAGTCACATATGATAAATTGATAATTATTAACGTAAATATATATAGACTTAAGTTAATATTAAAGATATTGAATCAAATCTGATACGAAGTAATTTAGTACATCAATGTATGTTTATAGACTTCAACTCAATTTATATATTAAAAGGTGATAATATGTTATAAAATATATTTAAAAACATGCCTTATACATAGAAAAGGAAAATATTATAAAGGATTTTAAATCCTTTAGGAAAAAAGGAGAATAGATAAAAAGGAAAAAAAAGCCAAATTTGTTTATTTGTAGGATGGAAAGGTAAAGATAAAGAAACAGATTGAAACAAAAGTATTCTTTTTCCATCAATAACTATTTTCCATTTTAAATGATATATTTTAGCACATTATTTTTTAAAACTTATTTACTTCAAAATACATCCAACTATTCACAACATTAACCTATTGATGTGTTTCTTGAATTGCAAGTCACAACGATGAAAAATCAACGTAACGAAAGATGAATGCCAAAGATGTAAAAGCACAATAACAATTATATTTAAACGAATAATATTACCTAACAAAGGTATTTTCAAGTTATTTTTTATTTTGTTGAATCAACATAGTGATGAAATTATTAATATTTGTTCATGGGTTTTACGAAAGTATAACTATTAAGAGCTTGTTCTTTAGGGCTTGAACTCTTAACATCTAGTTTCTTCTAGTTCCTTCTAATTTCTTCCAGTTCTTCCAGTTCCTTCCAGAACATAGAATGTTTTATTAATCTAACTTTATATAAGATCTTTCACCTTTCTCTTTATTACTTAAACTTTTCTCATATTTGTAATTTTTATAAAAAAATTGAAAGTCAAAATAGTTTAGAGAAAAAAGACTAAAATAGAAGTAAAACATAAGAAATGTAAAAAAAATGTTCTATGTCTTTATTCTAAAAATAGGGCTTCAATGAAAATAAAATGTCAATCATGAAAGAAAACTAGGTTTGATTACATTATGTGACATGTCTGATATTTAAAACAAAATCTTATAATATATAAAGTATAATTACCAATATATTATTTATAATAAATATCGCATAAATAAATCGAGGTGCAACGTAACCACAAAAACCTTTTAAAATTCAATATTTTTATATTTATGCTAACTTTATATTATAATTATTTTTTTGCAAAAGTAGTTTTCTGTATTTGAAAAATAACAACACTTTTTGTATCTTAAAAGCATTCATCAAAATAACGTGATGATGATGATAATAATTATAATTTTAATAATAATAATAATAATAATAATAATAATAATAATAATTTATAACAACAAGAATTTAAACTAAATTTTTTTGAAGTTTTTTTTAGGTTTTCCAATTTTTTGAAGTTTTTCCAGTTTATTTCAGTTTTTTCCTGTTTCTTCCAGTTCTTTCCAGTTGCTTCCAGTTTCTTCCAATTTCTTTCAGTTCCTTCCAGTTTCTTCTAGTTTTTTCTTGTTTCTTCCAACATCTAGCTTTTTTTTCCAGTCCTAAAGAGCAGACTCTAAGAAGAGTGTAAATAGAATTATTGTGTTAATCATAATTAAGAATTACCCTAAGTATTAATTTAATTTGGGCATACGTTCATCAATTTTTATTAATTATTCTGATGTTTATCTTATGGGGGTTAAAAATTTATAAATTAAATTAATGAGATATTTTAGACTATCATTTTTTCCATGATATATTTCATTAACTTATATAGGTATAAATAACTAAAATATTATGCTTTCATCCTCAACTTATCACAAAGTAGCTGCTAGCATTTAGATATACTCCCTCCGTCCCTAAATAAAGTTCCATATTTGACTTTTGGAGGATTTAAGGGAGGGATATTTTGGTGTTGACTTTCCAAAAATACCCTTGATGTGATTTGTTAAAGTAAGATGTGATAGATAGATTATTAGTAAAAAGGTATGATGTGATAGGTAGGGTATGAAAAAGTAAGGGGTAAAAGGGGTTTTTTAAGGGAAAAGAGAAATTTATTTAGGGACAAAGAAAAAACGAAAGAGGAACTTTATTTAGGGACGGAGGGAGTATGATTTACATTATACGGAATAGCTACTAGCGTTGAGAAATTAGTTACATGCCAGGTTTAAATCATGTAGTCTTTAAGTGTTTAATGATAAAAATTGTGTCAATATTTGTATATTTATGTATAATAATAGTCTTTTTTGAGAATTTTTCATAATACCTATAGGGTCGGAGTAATATTCAATACTTAAATAAAATATAATATTGAATTTTAAGGAAAAATATTTTATATTTATTAAATGAAAATAATAATTTATTTTATGAAATGAAGAATATTTTCATAAAAGAAAATACAAAATAAAATTTTTTTATCTTTTATAATTCTAATATTGATATATATATATATATATATATATATATATATATATATATATATATATCAAAATATCGAATGATAACATTTAGTTTTAAATATAATATTTTCAAATATATTACTGACATAAAGGTAAAATATTTTATATTTAGGTTTTAAAAAAGTCACATGAAGAGTTATTTTATGATTCTTGATATTTGTTCTACAGAAAAAAATTGTCAAACTTTGACACAACTAACCAGATAAATGTTTAAAATTATTTTGTGGTAATAGATTTTTATATAGGATAGAAAAGTAAAAGGAACAACCTATCTAGAGAAGATAATGCACTAAAATAGAAATTTGTTGATATTTAATATAAAAGTATAATTACCAATATTTATTGAATAACTTTCAAATATCATTCTTTATTTATTAACCAGAACTAAAATTATTGTTTACTCTTTCCATAGAAGTCAAAATTTAAAAAGTGTTTCCTTATATACTATTAATGTTAAGCAATGTGATACAAATTACTTTTTTACTAAGAAAAAGAGTAATATAAATAGGAAAATAAAAATAACAAAACAACTAAATTATTAAAAACAAAAACAAAAAAGTTTAATACAAAGTATAAAAAATGCAACGGATAAAAAAGAGTAATCTTTGTGCGTGATTAAGAGGTCTTAGGGGCTGTTTGGCAACTTCTGAATCGGTAAGTGCTGAACCAGTAAGAGGTTTGAACCATTAAGTGCTGAACCAGTAAGAGGTCTGAACCATTAAGAGCTAGTATATTGCTTAACTATTCAGAGGCAAATGTCTGATCAATTCAGATAAGAGGTCTTAACCATTCAGACTCTGTATAATACTTAACCATTCAGAGGCAAATCTCTTAACCATTCAGACATCTGAACCATTAAGAGGCTGAAACAAACAGNAAGAGGTCTTAGGGGCTGTTTGGCAACTTCTGAATCGGTAAGTGCTGAACCAGTAAGAGGTTTGAACCATTAAGTGCTGAACCAGTAAGAGGTCTGAACCATTAAGAGCTAGTATATTGCTTAACTATTCAGAGGCAAATGTCTGATCAATTCAGATAAGAGGTCTTAACCATTCAGACTCTGTATAATACTTAACCATTCAGAGGCAAATCTCTTAACCATTCAGACATCTGAACCATTAAGAGGCTGAAACAAACAGTCTGAACCATTAAGTGTTGAACCATTCAGACATCTGAACCATTAAGAGGCTGAAACAAACAGCCCATTAGTGTCTTATATTAAAAAGAGGACATATCTGAAAAGGGTTGCCGCTCATTCGCTATCTTCACCTATTGTTCAAATGAGAAACTATGTGGGTAGTAAATTGAATGGTTATCAAAATGAAAGGGTGCCTGAGGCACAACTCAACTGGCAAAGGCAAATGGTGAGCCTTGCTAGGCGACCAACACAGTAAGAGTTTGAATTCTAGAAACATGTCGTTAAATTTAGCCCGTTGTAGGTGAGACTAGCCGTGACAAAAATTCTGATAACTTTAACCAGTTGAGGCACATATTGCGATTTACCTCCTCCAACCCGGTGTGGGGATCCTCGAGGTGGGGGTTCACCTTTTTATAATAATTGAGATGAAGTTGTTAAATCTAATCATCTTTTTGTTAAATCCATCCCATTTATGACTATTGCCCAATTTTACTCTTTAGTTAGTCCACATGTGGTCTTTCTTTAGTTTAATTTACACATTATGGATATGTTTGTTCATTTTTTATAAAAGCTTGATTTAACAAAAAATGGAATGGATTTAGCAACACCGTGATTGAGAGAGCTAATTCTTCCTCATTAGCAAGCACTAGAGCAAATTATCACATAGAAAAAAAAAGTATATTAGACAGTATTATCTAATATAGTACAGTAGGATTATAAAGGATCATAACTATACATAGAGATTGCAATTCTACAAATACAAATCTGAAATTCTAAGAGAGCACCAAAAAAGAAGAAGAATATAAAGGGGAACCAAAAGAAATTAAATGACAAAATCAGTTTTTGTCATTTTATTAAAGAATTTAATAAAAATACACACTTTTATGCTTATATAAGAGATCAAAACATTAGTTCATTTGTCAAAGAAACAGTTTATTTTTCTAAAATGAGAATGACAAGCAGTTTATATCGTTATTTAAGTTAGCTCAAATAAGCTCTCGAATAATCAAGCGAATCAATAAATAACGACCGAGGCAAAAAGTAAGATTAGTGTATAGGTGAGTTTTTAAAACCTCGAGAAGCTTACATCAAATCCCACAGACAACACCACATTGTCTCCACAGCTAAGAGCCCCATTCTGCTGGAACTCTACTGCATCGGAAAGCTTGGTTTGTGGATCATATACGTATAAGTTATCTCCCGTCCTTACGAGTATCATTCCTTTATCCAACTGCATTACAGGCACACTCCATGAACCACCAACTATGACAAATTGCTTCACCCAAGATTCTTTCACACCATATTCCTGCATTACCCATATGTCGATCTCGCCTCTACTAGAATCTCTTGGGGAACAGCTCAAGCATAGGCATGAGTTGAAAGCGCTTAAGTTTCTATTCGCCTTTTTATGGGATCCATTATTGACATCATTGGGTAATGAGATTTGTGAAAACTCTTCCTTACCAAAATCAAACGACCATATATAGCTGTGATCGGGCCAATGACTAGACCCGTTCAGAAGACATCCATCCATCATAATCTTTAAGGGTGCGTAGCCCACGCTCCTCCATTCACCGTCACCCAAAGTCTGTATTTTTGCTAGTTGAATCTTCATCTTTGCGTCCCAAAACAGAAGGAGAACCTTGAATTGTCCAGACACCGGGCAACACCCTAGTTGACATCGAGGGATATAAAGAGAGAGATTCCTCACTTGATCCAAATTCTGTAACTTCACACACTGGCCCGCGAGCAAATGGCATACGAAAAAGTCTACCTTTCCTCTTGCGAAACAAACAACCCCATTGCAATGAGACTTCAGATGCCATATCTTACTAGAGCGATCAATTTTTTGCTTAAACCTAAAGAAATCAGCAACACCCACAAAACGTTTACCCTTAACATTGAAATCAAACCTCTTTTCAAGCTCAATCAAATTGAAATTATGCCCCACATCAGCACCAGAGCTATCATAGAGCAAGATGGAAAACCGAGAGGATGTACGATGGCGGCGAAAAGAAGAGAATTCTGGACCAATTACGACATGGTACCATTCTTTGCAAACAAGCTTACAAGTTAAACATGCCTTAATCGGAAGCCTACCCAGAATTTCACATAACAAGGCAGACGGTATTTCTGAAAAGGGTTGACATTCATTCACCTCTTCCACCTATTGCTCAAAAACAAGTCTGGATTACTCAATGCTCAAATGGGGATTGGAAATTATATATGTGGGCAGTAAAAAGAAGTAAAAATATAAACTGAGAGAGCAAATTCTTCTTAATTTGGAAGCACCAGTGAGCATTAATTACCACATTCACGGGGAAAAGAAGATGAAGAAAGAACAGTAAAAGGTGTGAAAAGCAAAAGACTGCATCTTGTTGATAATTACATTTCAATTGAGTGAGTTTAATTCCAAATGCTAAGGAAGTGAGAAAAAAGAAAGAAAGATTTACCCTCTGGTCTTCAAATCTCCTTCTGCCGATCCGTTTTCTCTGTTCTTCGAAAAAAGATTTAATCTTTGGTTCCCTCGGTCGTTTGAAAAAAGATTTACCCTTTGCTTTCCTCTGTCGTTTGCGTTTTCGCCGTCGGAATTCACAAAATCGTTCTTCTTTCATTCATTCGTTAGGGTTTTGCTCAATACGCTCAAATTATAAACGTTTTCTCTGTTTGGAAAAACAAGAAGGGTATTAGACGCCAGGCCACTTCGTTATGGGGCAAACTATCCATTTATTTTACATTATTTATTATTTTTATTTAAAATAATAAATTGACTCGCAAATTTCATGAGTTGATAAACTCAAAGCCATACCCCCTTGTTCATTGTGTGGCTTTCAAGTACCGTATTCACAACAATATTTATTTGAACTGTGCGAGAGGTTTGAGTCATCAAGACATCTTGCTGCAATTTTTTTCTTCATTCACGCATCTTAGGGCGTGGGACATCTTCCATGGATGTTCTAACTGGTGGGCGCCGGTTCCAACGAGGTAGCCCAGGCAAAGCGGTCCAAAACGTCCGAATTGGGCTACTATAGTCTTGGCATATCCGATGAGCGAGCATCTCTGATGATAATGAAGACATACCAATACCACCAGAGCCGGAATGATCCATCAGGAGGAATTAAGCAATAAAAGGAGAAGGATCCTTCAGGATGATGCCCGAACCCTTGATTAAAGAGTTCGCGCAACTCAACACTTCGTTGTCCGCCTTTGCTGAGATGCAGGCAGAGAGACTTCGGGTTAAAGAAAAAGCGAGAGTGGAAAAGCTTGAGCAAAGACGCAAAGAAAAAGCACAACAGCTTGACTTCGAATACCAACACTGTAACGCCCTACAAACCGGCCTAGCTTTAAATAAATAAATATTATTTATTTATTGAGACTCATTATTTTGAAATTAATAAATATTGAGATTTCGACCTCTTTAAATGGCTTTCCAAAGCTTATGTATTTTAATATAAAAAGATGTTTTAATAACGGACCTCTCAACATTAATTAAATAAATTAATTAATGATTGGGGTGGACCCGGAAGGCGGTCCATGTAACCCTACCGGTCCGTTGGGTCTCGGGTGAACCGGGTCCGCGGAAGGCGGGTGTTACAAATTTGGTATCAGAGCAAGTTCGATTTTGTGAAAAAAAAACAACAAAAAAAAACATATTTTGTCATCTTGGTCAAAGAGTATATTCAAAAAGTCCACAGCCGCATCTTCCATCACATCACTTAGTTTTGATTTAATCTCTTCTTATAGAGAATGAGCCAAGCAGTAGGTAATGACGGACAGGTAGATCCACATAGGAGTGCGTAAGCACGTGAGCGCATATCGAAGCGTCATACTAATTGCGTTATACGCTCACTTGTTCCCCATTTTGATACTGTACGATTGTTAGATGAGTACCATCAGTACCGGAAGCGTGTCAAGCGTTGACTCCAGTCGAACCTTCGTGCTCGGTAAGAGACGAAAGAACAAGAGGAAAAGTTATGATTCAAAAGAGCGCTACCAACGTGCACACCACAAGGCTCGGATAGCAAAGTTAAGAATGTGGAAGCGCCGGAAGGCAGCATGGGAAAGAGATGACCCAGAAGAAACGTTCAGCGTGGACTCTGCTAATAGCATCTGCGGCGCAGGTGGGGATAATCCTCCAGTGGACTCAGGCCGACTAGACGAGTGGGAGTGGGTTGCCTGCTAAGTGATGACATAGTCGAAGCCGTAATCAATGCAACATTTCGTCCCACTTATCTAAACCAAATATGTTCCTTGAATGAAATTCGTCAGATGGTCTTTAATCTATTATGCCCTCGTATGCTTCACAAAACAAAGTTTGGGGTAACGCACTATCTCCTTAAACACGTGAGGTGTGACATGAGGAGAATTTCGGGGACGAAATTCCTTTAAGGGGGAGATAATTGTAACAACCGGCCTAGTTTTAAATAAATAAATATTATTTATTTATTGAGACTCATTATTTTGAAATTAATAAATATTGAGATTTCGACCTCTTTAAATGGCTTTCCAAAGCTTATGTATTTTAATATAAAAAGATGTTTTAATAACGGACCTCTCAACATTAATTAAATAAATTAATTAATGATTGGGGTGGACCCGGAAGTTTGAAAATAAAGTTCTTAGAAAAATTATTTGAACATGTCATTAAATTCGTTTTGACTGTCTGATTCTGGAAACACAAACAGATCTCAATTCGGACCCGCTTAGGGGGGAAGCGCGTACCGTTTTGGTCAGATTTTGATATAACGGAGTAAATAAATATTTGTAACTCCCAAAACCATTCCACACGCCATTCATCCTTATTCATTCTTCCATTTTTAATTCTCCATTAATACTCATTATACCACCATCATTATATACAACCCTCTCTTCTTCATCCCTTCACCATTTTGTAACACCCCAACACCATTAACACACAACCATCCAACTCCCTCTCTCTCCCTCTTCCTTACGGACGCCGGCCAGTGGAATCCTAAAAGACGACGGAGCTCCGGCGAAGAGAAAGAAGGAGAAAGACGAGAAGAAGAAGGAGGTGTCCACGAGAAACCATTCGCCGTTCAACGTTGTCAACTATTCGTTCATCTCATTTCATCGTTCCGTCAATCCCTTCAACTAGAGGTGAGTAGTTGTCCCTCTAATTCTAGAACATCAAGTCATAATCTATGTTGTTATATTCATAGGAATATCGTACGCAACCTACGTAGAATCTATGCATGTTCGTGGGTTAACCATCAAGCATACGTGTGTCCATGTTATCAAGTTATGTACCCGTTAATATAAACATTTTGAAACTCCCTATATTCATGGAATACTTAACATGTAATCATAAACGTTCGTTTCAAAAACTCCCAATGTATAGATGATAAGCAAACAGTCAAAATGGGAATCAGCGTGCCTTGATAATCGATTTACAGAACGGAATAATCGACTATCAGGTCACGCTGAACTCTTCAGTTGATCCAGCATAGTGTGACATTCGATTATCACATAAGTGGTAATCGATTATCAGGCCTTGCGGATTCTGGAGTCAGAGCTGGTTCACTTGATAATCGATTATCACATAGGCAATAATCGATTATCAGGGCTCTCTGACCCTTCCCGAACAAACCAACTTGACAATCGATTTTCATAAGGTGACAATCGACTATCACAGTCTGCAGGACTTTGGGGACAGAAGCTGCACAGCATGATAATCGATTATCAACAATAGACAATCGATTATCA